GAGGAGGTAAGTTAGCATATCAATCTCTGAAATAAAACTATAGCAAAGCAACTCCTTCATGTTTTATAGTAATTCTTTCAAAAATCTTAGGCCTTTTCATACATTTTTTTGTAAAGTTGCACCGAAAAATTTAACAAATTTGTATCAATTTCATTCTAACAGATTTACCATTTTTCAGTGTTGAAAATCATAATTTATTTTATAATATAACCTGATATTGCTGTTTCGAAAACCAGAGGTTAGAGAGAAATCTTTCACTGGTTCACATATTAGAAGTCTAATTTTAGCTTTGAAGTGGAATTGAGGACACTAATGTGTTCAGATTCTTAATCTATTGAATGTATACCTTTTCCCGCTCATTATGCTAAACAAATGGAGAGTTCTGAATCATTCATGAGCTTTATGTCATTAAAAATCCTATAAATTGAATTATTGAATTACTAATTTCTTCCCTTGTTGATAGCTTGTGAATTTGTTTTGTATTACAAGCTTTGAGTCTATTGGTGGCTTCTTTTGTATCTAAATCTACTGTAACCTTTGTTTTTTTGAAAGAGCCAAATCCATAACAGTCAAGATAATCTTATTTCAGCTAAAATATAAGATGTTAGAATTTGTGTTTGTAATTTGGTATGCTCTTAAATAATATGGTATTGCAATGTTATATAAATATGTTATGGGAGAGCGACATTTTCCCACCCAAGGTTTGATGAAACGACACTTTCCCCCCCATCAAGTTTCAAAATGACACTTTCCCACCTTTCGTTAGATTCTGTTAGTATTTTCAGTTAATATTTGATCGAAAAGATCAAAATACCCTTAAGTAGTTTATTTCTTAATTAGTTTATTATAAATTAAAATTAGTTAATTCAAAGTCTTTATTCGATTATTTATTAGTCCAAGTATAAAGATAAATTTTTTTCTTTATTTATTTAATTAATTAGGAATATTGATTTTTTATGTTAATTAGTAAAAATGAAAAACATTATAAATAATAGTGATGTGATATTGATGGCATTATAAATAAATATTAAGATTATTCAACTTTAAATAATTTTATAGCATTACTCATAATTTTTAAGGTGAGGTTAACTATTTTTTCTTTTCAATATTTGACTTTTTAGCTAATTAAAAAATAATAAAAAATTTATAAAGTAAAATATTTAAGGGTGTTTTCGTCTTTTCAGTAAAATATTAACAGAAAACATAATAGAACCTAACGAAGGGTGGGAAAGTGTCATTTTGAAACTTAATGGGTGGGAGAGTGTCGTTTCACCAAACCTTGGGTGGGAACATGTCGTTCTCCCCTATGTTCCTACAATGGATTTTCACTGTATTGGCGATTTTGAGTTTGCTTTGTGTGTGCCATTTTTTTTTTCTCACAAACACACAAGACTAATTAAGTAAATACATTTATAATCCAATTTGCATATTTAAACCAGATCAATGTGTCTTTCATTATTTGTGGCATGATAAATATAATTTGATGAATTTGTTTTACTTGTAGGATCAATATACACTTTGGTGAGGATTTTTATCAACCTGACGTTGATGTGGCTGATCTAACGCTTTTGGGGAGGGTTCTCTGTTTAGGTTGCCATATATAGTGAGTTAGGCCTAATCTTCGTGAGATGTCTTAAAACTTTTTTTTTTTTTTATAATATTTCTTATTTTTATTTGAAATTGATTTGACTATTTATGTGAGATGTCTAAAACTTTTTTTTCTATAATATTTCTTATTTTTATTTGAAATTGATTGACTATTTAAGTTATTTTTTTCAGGTTCAAGATCTAGATGAATTCTACGAGTTTCAGTATGAGATAGCGCTTTTATATTTGTAAGTTTATGGAAGAAATGTAGATTCTTCTCCCTATTCTTGTGCTGTCGTTGTCTTTTCTACCTCTGGACCACCTTCACTCATTGGATGATCTATTGGAATGTCTTTTTCGACAGCTTTTGAACTGCTAGCGTTGCTGGAGTTCAAGATTTGGAGTGGGATTCGGTTTTCCTTCTCTTTGTGAATGTCGGCCATGGTTTTGTGTAAGGAAGTTTTTGGATAAAAAATTTGTCGGAATTAAGGCACTGTAGTCGCCAGAAATCGCAAAGAAACGAATAGTGTTCGTTGGTCGTTTTTTGGGTATATGACTCGATTAAGCGATTTTGAAGGGTGGGGGCTCATTTTCAAATTTCAAAATTTAAATAAACTTTCGTTAATTATGATTTTATCTATATATATTTAAATATTTTCAGTTTAACCTATTTTACATGTTTGATGAATCCTAAATATGCCACATCAGCTTTTCTAAATTATAAAAAATTCAAAAATATTTTCGAGTTTCTTTTTTAAATGCAAACTTCGGATGTCCGAAGAGTTAAGACTCCATTTGGTTCATTATTGAGTAGTTTTTAGAATAATCTTTTGAAAAAAGTTAAATTAAGTGGGTATTACGATGTAGAATTTTAAAAATTAACATAAATACCCTTTATGTTTATTTATTTATAAACACCCCTATAATAAAATATTCAAAATTAACAAAAATATCCCTAATCCACTCATAAATACGGACAGTCGGCCACCATCGCTGGAGGGTGGCCAAAGTTGCCATATCGACGTATGACCGACTCGATCTTGCCGGTCGTGCGCTGATATAGCCTTTTCCGGCTAGATCCACCGTGGATCTGGCCACATTTGGTCGTTAACGATGGCCAAAGATATGGCCGTCGTTGATGATTGTCTACGGTCAAAGATTTTTGGTCGTAGATCTGGCCTTTTCCGGCTAGATCTAACATGGATCTGGTAGAAAAAGGTTAGATCGGCGCACTACCAGCTAGATTCAGCCAGTAGTGTGCCATTACACCAAATTCCGGCCAACTTGCAGTAGTGGTGGTCGGAATCTAGTAAATTTCAGTGGCTGGGGTGTTTTTGTCAATTTTTAAAATTTTCTTTGAAGGTTTTTTTAGTTAAATTAACAAATTTAGGGGGTTTAAAAGACATTGAATAATTTAGAATTATATTTTGAAAATTGGTGAAAAAAATTTAGAATTATATTTTGAAATATGTGAACCAAACGCGAGCCTAAATTTCCTCCAACCCCGCTGGCAACACGGCAACACCACCACCTTGCAACAGAGGGCTAGGGGGAGGATCAGACTCCATTTCATCACGGTTAGAAGCAAATCTCACCTTGGGTTTTTTACGCGACGAAGCTCGATTCTCTATGGAACGATCACCAGTAACCGCACAACCTTCAACACAACTATAACCAGAATCAGTAAGACCGTCTATGCCAGAATGAAGCCGACGAACTCCTCCAGACCGGTTTTGTTCCCGAGCAATTTCCTGGCCATCAGGGCCTCCGGTAGTAGCAGAGCTAAAAGCTTGCATATCTTGAGTCGCCACATTCATAAACTTGAGCGAGTCCTTCTTACAAGGATGATGATCATTCTCAGAAGAATCATTTCCAACAAAAGAATCCTTACCAGATCTCAAAACTCGTCTTAGTGAAACATTAGACGGATCTGAACGGGATGAAGACACCTTAGGAGTTTTCATAAAGCACCAAAAAACAAAAACCCAACACAACCGAAATAAAACGCACAAAAGAAAGGGCAGGGCCACCAGCGGTAGCGCCGATGGCTAGCCAAAAAGAGGACCGAAGGGGTCACCCAATAAGAGAACCTAGCTGGCTCCACTTTTTCCTTCTTGATTCTATGTATTAGAATTTGTGTTTGTAATCTGGTGTGCTCTTAGACCAGAGGGTATTGCAATGTTATATAAATATGCTACTACGAAGGATTTGAATTTGTATTAGCAATTTTGAGTTTGCTTCTATGCGTGCCATCTTACTTTCTCACAAACACACATGACTGATTATGTAAATACATTTTTAATCCAATCTGTATAAATTGAAATAGGCCAATAGCAGGGTGATTACTATCAGTGATGTACATCCTCTTATATTCCCTATTAACGGTAGCTTAGTTCCATTTCTCTGCTACAAGAAGATCAAAAGTCAAGTACTGGACTGTTCATTTTTTTTTTTGTGAATGGAATGTTCATTGCTTCTCCCTTAAGAGTTCCTTCTTTAGAAAAGAAGCTGATAAAGATAATGGACCGCACATGTGCGGATACACCTTTTAAATTAACTGTAGCTTAGTTCTTTTTTCTCTTGGAATAATAATTTCTCTGTACGGATAAACCTTTTTACTTAAAACTTCTCTTCTACTTGATTTTCTCCACTCTGTTCTGTGAATCCTTCATTGAACTCCTCTCCAGCAACAGTAGCTTGGTGATCACCAGGTACTATATATGTTTTTGTCATATAACATCAGTTACTTTTAAAGTTAAGTTCTTGAGCATCTGAGCTAGAGTTAATAGAATGACTATATGGGCTTTTTTCTCTGTAGATTTATTACTTGTGTTAGTTATTTAATCTTAGCTTTTATTCATCAGTGTTTAGAATGTTTTAATCATCATTTCAATCCCAGAAAGTTCTGAACATTGGAGATTTTTACAAATTTTAAACCTTAATAAATGATCAATACACATCTCCACCATCTTCTTGTTTTTTCTAGCCCATTGAACTCCTTTAAGTAAGTTTATGCAAAAGTTCATCTAAAACTCATTACTTCGTTCAATGATTTATGTTTTTTTTCTTATTGTACAATATGTATGTGAACATTTGCACTGATAAAAAGTCCTTAAATCTTCCAGCCTTGTGGAGATCAGCTTAGAATCATGGTGTTTTTGAATCAATTTATCGTTTTCCTTGTTTCAGGAAAATGGCTATTTGTTGAGTTTCTGCCTTTTGCAATTAGATTTTGTTTATGAAATCCAATAACTATATATGCTTTTAGCAAAAATGAGCTTTTGCATAGATTTCAAAATTTCTTGAAGTGTATGAACACAAGGCTTCAGGCTTAGATAAGTAATTGATTAAGCATTGATTTTGCAGGTTGTATTCAGAATTTGAACAAACCAAGATTTGAGAGTATATACTCAATGACTACGGAAGAAGCAAGAGCAATTAGCTTGAAGGCCTTGGTGGATAAAGAGAACAACAGAGTTATATTTGTGGAATCAGATGAGGACTTTACTGACGTTCTCTTTAGCTTCTTGACAATGCCCATGGGAACAATCATCAGGCTTATTTCTAATCATAATCAACCACCAACAGTGGGGATGGGTTGCATGAACAATTTGTATGAAAGCATTAAGAACCTTGACATGCAGCGTTTCCGGACTGAAGCATGCAAGACCATGTTGCTATGCCCCAGAAATTGCGCTGCACCTCAGAACAAGAGACTAAAATTGCAAATTGACGATGGTGAGCAGCCGAGGTACTTCTTGTGCACTACGGATTGTACCCTTTTCGGGCACAAACTGAGTCTCTACCCTAATGCTGTTTGTGAATGTGGACAGCTCATGGATACGACGATTGAGTTGTCAGAGAAGACTGTTTTTGATGCTCGAGATAGAGGAGTGTTTGTTAAAGGACTGAACCAATTTATAATAATTGATGAATTACAAGTAAAGCCCTCATCAATAGAAGCAAGCCTTTCTGTAGTGTCTAAGCTAGGACTCATGGACAGTAGCACCATTGAGGAGTACAACATCGACATAGGAGTAGATGAGGTAATTACTTCATTCTGGTTCTAAAATTTAATAATTTTATCAAATTCTACCATTATTTGTAGTTAAGAATTGCTTTGTATGATCAAACTTAGTACATGAAGAAACCAATTTGTACTAGTGAATCGTGATGAACATCTCCTGGAAATAATTCACTTCAATGCAGATTGCTTTTTTCCAAGTAAAGGATGGGGATTAAAATAAAAAAGGAAAAAAAAAAAAAAAAAGGTTTCACAGTGAAGCTAAAAATTTTGGATTCTAACTGATCAACAGTTATAATTGGCAAAAAGTAGGGCTTTTGAATTTGATCTACTATCATCTTTTATTATATCAGCTCTCTGAGCATGATTAATAATTTCACAATTTGGTAGATAGCTGAACAGTGGTTGTGTTCGTGACCTAATGCCTTCTTTCAGGTTCTCACTTTGCTCAAGTGCTCTCTAGTGTCAAAGAAACCTTTGACAGAAACTTTGTTGAAACAAAACTCAGCACCAAAGTTCAGCAAAAAAGATTTTGATCAGAATATCAATGTTGAATCTACTGTAGAAGAACCAAAATCAAATGTGGATGGGAAGATTCATGTAAAGCTTATCATCAGCAAATCCAGGAAAATGGTTTGGTATGCCGAAGCAAGTGAAGAATTTGTTAATTTAGTCTCCAGTTTCCTAACTGTTCCACTTGGCTATATAATAAGAGAAATGCAGAGTGGCATTTCCAAAGGATCCTTAACTCACCTGTACAATAGTGTTAAGGAACTCGATACTGAGAAATACTTGAAATCTAACGAGCACAAGAAAATGCTCATCAGTCCGAAGCTCGCCCCTGATTTTAGCTATGAGAACCATCCTTAAGGCATTGAAGAAGGTTTGCACCCAACATACTGTTTTGCAGCAGATTATGGTAGTAGGTCTTATGCTGTAAGTTTTGAACTGACTTCTGATGGTCAAATTCCTTCTGGATATAATCGGAGAAGTTCAATTTTAACTGTCAAGGATCCTAAGTCTCATTTTAAAGAAGCCACAAGAGGAGGATTTGTGACTGGACCAAGAATGTTTACCGTAACTGACAATCTGATCATCACACCCATATCTCAAGTCCAAAGTCTGTCTCCTCTGACCAAATTGAAGGTACCTTTCAGCGATATTGAGGAGCGTGTTGTGAATGTGGGCAGTGAGACGGTCAGTTGACATGAATTGTATTTCATTATTAAACTCTAACAAATCATCCCATGATTTCTGATAGTAGTTTCTTTTGACTATTTTGAGATCTTGTTATGCATGGTGATTTATTCAATAGTAAGTGACAATATAGAAGTAAAATACAAATGCTATGAGTTTATTCTGCCAAGCCAATAATGTACCACTCTAAGCTACTGCCAATTCTATTTTTGCTGCTGCATTACCACCTCCAATTAATTAGACTATACAAAAGGAGAGTTTTAATTTAAAATCTGTTCTAAGAAGAGAATCTACTGAAGATTATCTGAAAGCATGATATCCATTCCCTTGTTGATACCTTATGAATTTGTTTTACTTTGCAGGTTTTACGTCTATTGGTGGCATCTTTTGTATCTGAATCTGCTCTGACTAATACCTTTATGAGAGAGCCAAATCCAATACAGTCAGGATAATCTTATTTCAGCTAAAATATGAAATGTTATTCATGTGAAACCTATTTATATATTGTGTTGAAATTTGTGTTTGTACTCTGGTATGCTCTTTAGACCAGAGGGTATTGCATATAAATATATTACTCCAAAGGATTTGCATTGTATTGGCAATTTTGAGTTTGCTTTGTGTGTACCATCTCTCTTTCTCACAAACACACAAGACAAAACTATGTTTTTCTTCTAATATGCACAAATTGAGAAACAGGACATTTGCGTTACAACTTTCAGGTTTATGCGAGTTTGGGAAGCTAAACTTTTGAAATTTTTATTTTTATAAAATTTCCAAAAGCAAGATGCATGAATAGGCTAATGACATGGTGTTTGTGGACTGAAACATTGGCCCAACTGAAAGCCAATAAATTATACATTCATACATTTTGTTTAAGATGTGGGAAGTAAACTTTGTTTCCAAGAAAAAGTGACCCTAATTTGACATCAGATAGTGGTGTTAATAGTTAAGAATGAAGAGATAATGAATTATCTTGTAACTGGTAGCTTGTGAATTTTCTTTATACTGATTAATGAATATATCCATATGTTAATTACAAAAGTAACCTTTCCCTTGACCAAGAACACAAATTATGTCAACAAAATTACAAAATAACCAAACTCTTGGCTATACCCATATATATTAATTTTGAGTCATTTTAGCTCTTTCAACTTCCTTCATCAATTAATCCACCTTGCCTTGGTATCATTCATGCATTATTGCTCCATCATTCTTTACTTCTCTCATAACCTGGTTCTATCCTTTCCATAAATTTTCTATTTTCCAAGAAGATATAGCAATATTCAAGGCATGCAGGACTGTTCATTTTTTCTTCATTAAGAAGCTACAGATGATAAATAGTACTACTGCACCCTTAACTTACTGTATATATTCTTTCCTAAAATTTTCTGCTCAATACACTCTTTTATTCTCTCTAAAATCTTATTACACTTCTTTCCAGCAATGTACTAGCTGGAAACCAGGCACCATATCTTACTTTATAATGTATTCGTCCGTAGAGTTGCAACATTTTTGTTAGCTTAAGTTACATGTTTTGGACTGTTAATTTTTTCTCACTTAAGAATTCTTGCTTTAAAAAGGAAGTTGCTAAAGATGATGGACCACACATGTAGGGATACACCTTTAAAATTAACAGTCGCTTAGTTCCATTTTCTCTAAGAATATATATTTTCTCTGTTACAAGAAGATCCAAAGTCAAGTCAAGTCAAGTACTGGACTGTTCATTTCTTCTCCCTTAAGAATTTTGGCCTTCAAAAGGGAGTTGCTAAAGTTAGTGGACCACACATGTATGGATGCACTTTTTAACTTTCTTAAAACCTCTCTTCTACTTGATTTTCTCTGCTCTCTGCTCCCAGAATCCTTCATTGAACTCCTCTCCAGCAACAGTAGCTTGGTGATCAGGTACTATATATGTTTTTGTCATATAACATCAGTTACTTTTGAAGTTAAGTTCTTGAGCATCTGAGCTAGAGTTAATCGCATGACTATATGGGCTGTTTTCTCTGTAGAATTATTACTTGTATTAGTCATTTTATCTCAGCTTTTATTCGTCAGTGTTTAGAATGTTTTAATCATTATTTCAATCCCAGAAAGCTCTAAACATTCAAGATTTTAACGACTTGTAAACCTTAATTAATGATCACATCTCCACCATCTTATTGTTTTGATTTTTCTGATGATGTTCATTTCTAGCCCATTGAACTCCTTTAAGTAAGTTTATGTAGAAGTTTATATAAAATTCATTACTTTGTTCAATGATTTATGTTTTTTCTTAATGTATTGACAATATGTATGTGAACATTTGCACTAAGAAAAAGTCCTTAAATCTTCCAGCCCTGCGGAGATCAGCTTAGAATCATGGTGCTTTTGAATCAATTAATCCTTTTCCTTGTTTCAAGAAAATGGCTATTTGTTAAGTTGCTGCTTTTTGCTATTAGATTTTACGAAATCCAATAACTATATATGCTTTTAGCCAGAAAATGAGCTTTTGCATAGATTTCAAAATTTCTTGAAGTGTATGAACACAAGGCTTCAGGCTCAGATAAGTAATTGATTAAGCGTGGATTTTGCAGGTTGTATTCAGTATCTGAACAAAGCAAGATTTGAAAGCATATTCTCAATGGCTACGGAAGAAGCAAAAGCAATTAGCTTGAAGGCCTTGGTGGATAAAGAGAACAACAGAGTTATATTTGCGGAATCAGATGTGGACTTTACTGATGTTCTCTTTAGCTTCTTGACAATGCCCATGGGAACAATCATCAGGCTTATTTCTAATCATAATCAACCACCAACAGTGGAGGTAGGTTGCATGAAAAATTTGTATGAAAGCATTAAGAACCTTGACATGCAGTATTTCCGGACTGAAGCATGCAAGACCATGTTGCTATGCCCCAGAAATGCCGCTGCACCTCAGAACAAGAGACTAAAACTGCAAATTGACGATGGGGAGCTGCCGAGGTACTTCTTGTGCACTACGGATGGTAACCTTTCTGGGCACAAATTACTGAGTCTCTACCCTAATGCTGTTTGCGAATGTGGACGGCTCATGAATAGGACGATCGAGTTGTCAGAAAAGGCAGAACAAAAGTTAGTTTTTGATGCTCGAGATAGAGGAGTGTTTGTTAAAGGACTGACCCAATTTATAATAAGTGATGAATTACAAGTAAAGCCTTCATCATGAGAAGCAAGCCTTTCTATAATGTCCAAGCTAGGACTCATGGACTGTAGCGCCATTGAGGAGTACAACATCGACATAGGAGTAGATGAGGTAACTATTTCATTCTGATTCTAAAATTTAATAATTTTATAAGATTCTACCATTATTTGTAGTTAAGAATCGTTTTGTATGATCAAACTTAGTACATGAAGAAACCAATTTGTACTCATGATGAACATCTCCTGGAAATAATTCACCTTCAATGCAGTTTGCTTTTTTAGAAGTAAATGATGGGGATTAAAAGAAAAAATGTTTCGCAGTCAAGCTAAAAATGTTAGAAGCTAACTAATTAACAATCATAATTGGCTAAAAGTAGGGCTTTTGAATTTGATCTACTATCATCTCTCTGAATATGTGTTCGTGACCTGATGCCTTCTTTCAGATTCTCACTTTGCTCAAGTGCTCAATGGTGTCAAAGAAACCTTTAACAGAAACTTTGTTGAAACGAAATTCAGCACCAAAGTTCAGCATAGAAGATTTTGATCAGAACATCTATGTTGAATCTACAGTAGAAGAACCAGAATCAAATGTGGTTGGGAAGATTCATGTGAAGCTTATCATCAGCAAATCCAAGAAAATGGTTTGTTGTGCCGAAGCAAGTGAAAAATTTGTTGATTTAGTCTCCAGTTTCCTAACTGTTCCACTTGGTTATATAATAAAAGAAATGCAGAATAGCATTTCAAAAGGATCCTTAACTAACCTGTACAATAGTGTTCAAGAACTCGATGTTGATAAATACTTGAAATCTAATGAGCATAAGGAAATGCTCATCAGTCCGAAGCTTGCCCCTGATTTTAGCTATGAGAACCATCCTTTAGGCATTAAAGAAGGTTTGCACCCAACATACTCTATTAGGGGTTATAATGGTTATAACTATGGAATGAAACTGACTTCTGATGGTGAAATTCCTTCTGCATTTCCTTCAACTTCTGATGGTCAAGTTTTAATTGTCAAGGATCCTAAGTCTCATTTTAAGGAAGCCACAAGAGGAGGATTTGTGGCTGGACCAGCAATGTTTACCGTAACTGACAATCTGATCATCACACCCATGTCTCAAGTCCAAAGTCTCTCTCTTCTGAACAAATTGAAAGTGCCTTTAAGCGATACTGAGGAGTTTGTTGTGCATGTGGACAGTGAGAAGGTAAGTTGACATAAATATTTTAGTATTTAACTCTATCAAAACATCCCACGATTTCTGATAATAGTTTCTTTTGACTATTTTGTGACCTTGTCATAGAAATGCATGGTGATTTTGGCATACAACCTTTAAGAATTTCTTCGAAATTCAAGTCCCTATGATTTAACTTTCTTTCATTTTGCCTAACCTGCTAGAATTTTACTATTGGAAGCCATAAAGTATGATGAGACCAGCTACATATATTATTTTCATTTTCTTAGTGCAAAATATAATTATGGGACATAATCACATTGATGTAGCGAAAATAGTGTTAAATTAGAATTTAATTTTGTTTTCCTTTCTTTATTTGATTAGGGTTTCATATTAAGAATTCAAGTAGTTTTCTATTTTAATTAGGAGGTTAGTTGATTTAAGAAGTTTTAATTTAGTTAAATTTTACTTTCTTATTTTATAATTAGGATTTAATTTCTTTATTTAATTGGGAGCCTTGTTAGAATTGGCCACCTATATAAACTTATTATACTTTTCTTTTAAAGATATAGAATATTCAATGAATTATTCAGATTTTCTTTCAAATTTAAGGCTTAAATTTTTTTGATTGAGACTTGTTTATCAGTTTTAAAGGTATACTCGAGCGCTAAGTTTATTGTTACCCTAACTCGCTGCATCATACCAAAATTTACCCAGCAAGATGCAGCAAACAATATAAAGTTTCATACGTTTATTTTAAGGTTTTTCCTCACATTGGCAAGAGCATTAGAAGTCTTATTAGCTTTAAAGTAACAAAGAAGAACTACATCAGCCAAATAGCTCATTTCTTCATAAGGTTTTAGATTCCCATACTCTGTATCTTTTATTATTTTTATGTTGTAAGTCTTGTCAAATTGCAAGGCATTGCCATCTGCAAATGCATTTTTTTCAATCAATAGTAAGTGACAGTATAGAAGTAAAATACAAATGCTATCAGTTTATTGTGCCAAGCCAAGAATCTACCACACTAAGCTACTGCCAATTCGATTTTTGCGGCTGCATTACCGCCTCCCATTAATTAGACTGTACAAATGGAGAGTTTTGATTCAGAAGCTGTTCAAGATGAATATCCATTGAAGATGATTTGAAAGCATGATATTCCATTCTCCCGTTGATACCTTATGAATTTGTTTTACTTTGCAGGCTTTGCGTCTATTGATGGCTTCTTTTGTATCTAAATTTGCTTTGACCAATGCCTTTCTGAGAGAGCTAAATCCAGAACAGTCATGATGATCTTATTTCAGCTAAAATATGAGATGTTGTTAAGAATGTGAAACCAATTTATATATGTGTTAGAATTTGTGCTTATAATCTGGTATGCTCTTACACCAGAGGGGGTTGCAATGTTATATAAATATGTTACTACAAAAGATTTGCATAGTATTGGCAATTTTGAGTTTGCTTCTGTGTGTACCATCTTTCTTTCTTCCAAAAACTATGTTTTCCTTCTAATTTGCAAATATTGAGAAACAGGATGTCTGCATTACAACTTTCAGGTTTTTATGCGAGTTAGGGAAGCTAAACTTCTGAAATTTTTATTTTTGTAAAATTTCCAGAAGACGGTGCATGAATAGGCCAATGGCATGGTGTTTGAGGACTGAAACACTGGCTTAATTGAAAGCAAATAAATTACACATTCATACATTTTTTCAGATGTGGGCAGTAAACTTCGGTTTCGAGAAAAAATGACCCTAATTTGATATCAGATGGTGGTTTTAATAATTAAGAATGATGGGATAATCAATTATCTTGTACTTGGTAGTTTGTGAATTTTTACAGTTCTTGAAATGCATGGAACACTAGCTTCAGCCTTAAAGAATTGATTAACCAATGGTTATTCAGGTTGGTATCAGTATTTGAACAAAGGAAAACTTGGAAGAATATACACAATGAATACGGAACAAACCATAGCAATTAGCTTGAAGGCCTGGTTGGACAAAGAGAACAACAGAGTTATATTTGCTGAATCAGATGAAGATGTTACTTATGTCCTCTTTAGTTTCTTGCCAATGGCCATGGGAACAATCATCAGGCTTACTTCTAATCAACCACCACAAATGAGATTAATAGGTTGCATGTGTAGTTTGTATGAAAACATTAAGAATCCTGACGTGAAGAATATTTGGATTGGAATAATCTTATGTTTACAATTGAATTATACAACCAGGCAAAAAACATAGGACGGAATAATCATTTTACATGAATTTCGTAAAACTTTTGTTCGATTGTATGGTTGGTAGTATTTATTCATTTGTAAATGTGGAGGGCAAATGCGTAATGAGAAGCAATACTCTGAGAAGAATAATCAAGTGGAGGTTTTGATTCTCCAGATAGAGGTTTGCTTTTTAAAGTATTGATTCTATTCATGATAAATATTGAATTCCAAGTACAGCCCTCATCAGCAGAAGCAAGCCATTCTGTACTATCCAAGGTAGGACTAATGGATAGAATCAGTACCATTGAAGAGAGGAATTTTTAAGTTATCAACATCGAAATGCCTTATCAAGGCAGCATTTACATTAACCATTATTATGGATTTTGATGGGCTTATTATATTAAGTAGATATGGGCTTAATCAGCAAATAGGCCCATTGTAATTGCTTTGTTATTTCTTTCGGGCTGTACATGTTTGGATTATTTGGGTGCCCTCAGAAAATTTTTTGTGTGCAATATTTTACTTGTCTATTGTCTTCTGATTACGTAACTGTCGTTAACACCACAAGAAATTTAAAATTCCTGCTATTGAGTTGGGTTACCGACACAACTTAGCAAAAACGCACATGATTGTAATTTGATAAGTTCATTAAGCTAACCTGAGGTACAAAAATGACATAATTTTCCTGAAACAGGGTTCATTTTTTTTTTTTTTTTTGGGTGATCAGAGACGCCTGAGCCAGTTTACCCAGAAATTGATGATAAGATAAACCCTTTAATGGCCACCTCTATTAGGGACTATAAAGACTCGAATTAAAAAACTTATGAAACCTCTTTTTTTTTTTTTTTTTTTTTTTTACCACTAAATCACTCATTAGTAGTTATGAGGTTCAAATTATATTTCAAGTTTTTTTTGATATTATGATAAGTAATATTGTACCGTTAGAAGCAAAACACATGAAATACGCCATTTGTATGTATATGAGTGATTACAATTGCTATTTGAATTAATTTGCAATCTAATTGTGTGGTGTGAGGTCCATAAGATTTTTGGTAATGTGATATGGTATATACTGATTTTTGGTAATGTGATATAGTATATACCATAACCTTATGAGACGCATTTTGGGTAAATGAACTTACTTATAATCTCAAACAAAAGTATGTAAATTTCAAAAGCTTATTTGAAACCTGAAAATAAATTTGAATAAGATCAAAAACAAATTCATACAAATTGGACACAAATTATCCACCCAAGATAGTCCAACGGTAAACACAAATTAAGGGATTGTGCATGACTTCATCCCATAGTTTCAGGTTTGATTCCTTGTTAGGACGAGGTGATTTACCTAAGACTATAGGGATGGGTTGCAGTTAAGAGCACATAAACTGAACGGACACCTCGGTTAACCAAAATTAAAAAAAAAAAAAAAAAAATTATACACAAATTCACTTATTATTCCGAGATACATAAAAAGTCGGGTCAATTATAGGACTGTTCCTAATCCACAAAGAAATTATTTTCCCAAAGATTGCTAGAGATGATTGGTCTACACAAAGTGATGCACCTTTAACTTACTTTGCTGTCTCTAAAACTGCTTTTCTACTTGTTTTTCTCTTCGCTCTCCGACCTTTCCTAAGTCCTTCATTACACTTCTCAAGCAACACGATCTAGCTAACTAGCTGCATTTGGCGATCATCAGGTACCATACATAACTTCATCATAAATCATCACTTCTTATATAATGTTGGGTTCTTGAGCTAGCTGATATACGAGTTTTGGTCTGTAGAGACTTTTCTGTTAGTTGTTTAATCTTCTTCAATTATACATGCTTGGAATGATTTAACTGTTATTTCAACCCCCACAAGGCTATAAACATTGAAGATTAGAGTGATTTCAATGGGATTAATTTTAATGGTTTAGTTCCAGACTTCCACTTATAATGAACAATTATTTTCTCAGAATATTTACTACCTTGCTCTCTTAATAGTGTGAGCAGTTTCTTTTTTTGTTTTGGGATTAATTTTACAATGCATAAATATTTCCTGCGGACAACAGCTTAATTTGGATCACAGTCTTTAAATTAAGTTATCATTTTACTTCATGAAAATGGGTATATTCTGGAAATAATTAAGTTCCAGTATGTGATAAACAAATTTAACTTGCAAAAAGCTGAAATTCCAATCATATCAGTGCGCATGTTTCAGTGGAAATAGAACTTTTTACAATTCTTTAAGTGAATGAAAAAGGCTTCAAACAGATAACAAAAATCATCAATTAACTTTTTCTCTGACTTGTAGGTTTGGGCACCTGAAACGGAGAAAGAAGAGAAAACATATAATCAATGGATGAAGAACATGTAAAACCTATTAGTTTGAAGGCCTTGGTGGACAAGGTGAGCAAAAAAATTATATTTGCTGAATCTAATGAGGAATTTATTGATGTCCTCTTCAGTTTCTTGACGATGCCAATGGGAACAATCATCAGGCTCATCCGTAATCGACCTCCAACAATGGGGATAGGCTGCATGAACAATTTATATGAATGCATTGAGAATCTTGATGTGAAATTATTTAGGACTGAATCATGCAAAAAAATGTTGTTTTATCCCAGAAATGCAGCTGCAGTTCAGTGCAGGAGACTACAATTGAATGTTGATGAGACTGAGCCGCCGAGGTACTTTCTTGGCAATCCCAGTAGTTGCACTCATTTAAGTCACTATAGAGACGTTATTTGTCCCTTTGGAGAGTGCCTAAATATTGAGAAGTTTCTTGCTAAAGATAGAGGGGTGTTTGTTAAAGAAATGACCCGACTTATGATAAGTGATGAATTACGAGTAATGCCCCCATCAACTGAAGAAAGCCTTTCTCTACTCTTCAATCTAGGACTGACCGACGGAAGCACCACCGAGGAGTGCAATCTTGACATAGGAGTAGATGAGGTAACTAGTGATTTTCAATCATGATTTGAGGTAATGCTTTTAGATAGTAGATTAGTGACCAGATGTATTCTTTTAGGTTTTGACTTTGCTCAAGATGTCACTGGTATCAAAAACACCTTTGACAGGAACTTTTTTGAAGCACAGTCCAACGCCTGAGTTGGACCAAAAATATTTTGATATCAGCAAATCTGGAAGGGAGGAATCAGCAACAGATGTAAGCGGGAAGACTTTCATGATCAAGCTTATAGTCAGCAAATCCAAGAAGATGGTTTATTATGCAGAAACAAGTGAAGCTTTTGTTAATTTACTCTTCAGTTTCCTTACTGTTCCACTTGGTTATGCATTGAAGATGCACATCGGCACTTGGAAAGGATGCATAAATCATCTGTACAATAGCATTCACGAACTTGATGCAGACCAATTTCTGAAATCAAATAAGCACAAGGAAATGCTTCTCAGTCCCAAGCTTGCCCCTAATTTTGGCTATGAGAATCATCCTTTGGGCATTGAGGAAGATAAACATCCACCTTACTATTATATATATGGTGAAGACAAACTGATTTCTGATGAAACAATTGTTCCCACAACGGGAATTTCACGTTTAACTGCTGTGGATCCTGAGTCAAGCTCTAAGGACACTGCAAAAGGAGGATTTGTTAAGGGACCTGCAATGTTCACCATAACTGACAATCTGACCATAACGCCTATATCACCAATCTCATGTCTTTCTGTTTTAAAGAAATTGAAGGTAACTTTCAATGACATCGAGGTGCGTCTTGTGAAAGTGGGGTATGAGGAGGTGAGTTAGCATATTCAATTCTGAAATAAAAAGCAAATCATGATTTTTTGTTTTAAATTGAAATTCTTTCAAAAATCTTTAGGCCTTATTATAAAATTTTGTGAAATTTGACAGGCAAGTTTTATATATATCAATCATGTTCAGTCTAACAGATTTATCTTTCCTTTTTTGAGTGACAGGGTAGAATGTTACTATATATTTGGAAAATCATAAATCAATTTATGTATGGAATGTTGTTCATGAGAAACCTATTTATGTATGTGTTATAGTTTGTCTTTGTATTCTGGTTTGCTCTTTCTTAGAGGGTATTATTGCAGTATAATTATATAAAAGATTTGGTACAAGAGGTGCATTGTAGTGTAAGATATTTTCCGGTTTTGTCAGCAGTTTAGCCCTTAGTACACCTTAGTTACATTATTAAGTAAGACATGATTAGCAGGGAAAAATCTCCTTGTGGGTTGCATCTACTGTATTTTAAGGTTTCTGCCTCATATTGGGCAGAACATTAGCAGTCTTATTAGCTTCGAAGTGTGACTACAAGATCAGCTAATTCGTTCGATTTTAAAATTCTCAAGGTTTTCATTTCCTGATAATTTGAATCGTTATATAATTCCTTGAATCTTATTGAATTGCAAGACAATGACATATCAAGACAGCTTGATGATAGATTGTAGGATAAAACCACTTTATAAATCCTTGCATTGTTTTCCTTGATTTTTCAAACTTCATTGAATTCAAAGCTATGTTCAAATTTCCCTTTCTTCTAGATCTCTATTTAGGAATCTTTTACTGCACCAAGTTCTTAGGGATAGTAAGTGAGTGTAGAAGTAAAACAAAACGAGGTTCCATAGGAGAAAGCAAGCACCAGCTGTAGCTGCTATGTTCACTTCATCCATTATTCTGCCAAATTCCATCCCACTACCCTCATTGAACAATGCATATTATAGCTGTCACAAATTTTACTATTGTCGCGGTGCTACCTCTTACTTATTAGGCTAAACGGCGAGAGCCCTGATTCAGAAATTTTTATGCCATGAGAACCCAGATCAGATTATCTGAATAATTTATTTACTCCCTTGCTGATACTTTGTAAACTTTTCTTTCATTGCAGGCCTTGCGTCTTATGGTGGCCTCTTTGGTGTCTGAATCGGTTTTAACTGATACCTTTCTTAGAGAGCCAAACCAGAAAATTGAGGACATCTTTATTCACTTACTATGAAAGAATATATCTTCTTATTATGTGTATCAGAGTGAGAATTTGTAATTGAAACTCTAGTATTGTATTTCTCCATGAGATTGCATTGTCATATAAATACATATACATAAATTAAGGCAATGAATAGAACATGGCGTTTTTGCTTTAAAAACTCCCCATCTCTATATGGCATTTAGGAAAATCTTTTTGTGTGGACAATCTCTCACTAACTTCCAAAAACCCAAGCACAACTTAGCATAAAAGTACATGGTTGTAAATTGTAATTTGATAAATTCATTAAGCTAACCCGAGGTACAAAAATGACCCAATGGTTCAATTGATATTTCAAAAATTTTCTGATATTCTAATAAATAATACCATCAGAAGCAAAACACATGAACTAGGCTATTTATAAGGTATCTAAGTGATTAAAATTGCTATTTGAACTAACTTGCAATCTGATGGTGGAGCGTGAGGTCCATAAGGTGGGACTTCAAAAATGCAATTTGACCGATCTCACAAGAATACAAAGTTCATCAGGATTATTCTATAAACTAAGTAGACACAATTCTAATAATAAAGATCGCTCATGTGAAGCTCAAACAGTTTATCCATACAAATAAGATGGATTCGGATAATGTGATATGCACAAACCTCATGAATACTCAAGGTCCATATGATAGGCTTCTAATGTAGAGTGTAGACACATTTCGGTAAATGGCTCTTGCGTGTGAGCTCAAAGCAATTTGTATGATGTCAATTTACAAAATAACAAACTTTGGGCTAAATTGATCTCCTTTCCTTTAACTTATATACATAAGTACTTACTGCACAGGCAACGACGCACATTCCTTTAACTTACTATATACATACTTTCCCTAAAATGGTTTTTCTACTTGGTTTTCTCTACTCAGTACACTATTTAATCTTCTTCAAATGAGGAACAATCATCAGCGCATCCGTAATCATCCACAAATGGTGGGGATAGGTTGCATGAACAATTTATATGAACATGCAAGAACATGTTGTTATACCCCAAATGCAGCGGTACATCATTGCAAGAGACAAAATTGAATATTGATGATACTTTGCTGAGTTCCTTCATTGGAGAGATGACGATTGTGCTCATTGAGTCATTACAGAAGCCATTTGTGACTGTAGGAGCATGGATATAGGGGAGTTTGTTAAAGAACTGACTCAACTGATAGTAGTGATGAATTAGAAGAAATGCCCCCATCAACTGAAGCTAGCCTTTCTTTCCTTCGAAGGTAGGACTCATCGATGGAAGCACAACAGAGGAGCAATGAGTATGCACCCCTTGCTGTGGCGATGATTATTCAAGAATTTTTTCATATGTCACAGATATTAACTATATGTCTTCCTTCAGGTTTTTACTTTGCTCAAGACATCACTGATAACAAAGACACCTTTGACAGAAACTTTTCTTAAACTTATTCCAGCACCTAAATTGAACCAAAAAGTTGTTTGGCAAGCTATATAAAAACCAAAATGGAAGATCTAGCATCGAATGAAAATACAAAGATTCGCATCAGGTTTACGTGCACAATCCAAGAAATGGTTTATTATACTGATATGGCCGAGGAATATCTAATTCAACGAGCACAAGCATGCTTCTCTGCCCCAAGCTTGCCCCTGATTTTGGCTATGAGAATCATCCTTTGGGCATTGAGGAAGATAACACAATATCCCCAATTTCAGGTTTGTCTCTTCTGAACAAATTGAAGGTACCTTTCAGTGTAGCATATCAATCTCTGAAATAAAACTATAGCAAAGCAACTCCTTCATATTTTATAGTAATTCTTTCAAAAATCTTAGGCCTTTTCATAAAAATTTTGTTGAACTAGCACTGAAAAGTTTAACAAATTTGTATCAAGTTCATTCTTACAGTTTATCATTTTTTCAGTGTTGAAGTCAAAGATGAGGTAAATCTAGTACTGGACAGCGTATTAATCCAGCTTATTTAGCTTGGAAACGCACTGATAAGTTCCTTGTTACTTGGTTATTAGCGTCTATTTCAGAATGCATGTTTAGCTCTGTGTCAAATGTCAGACGTCTACTGACATTTGGCTTACACTTGAACATGAATTTTTGAGTGATTCAAAGGCTAGAGCTCTACATTTGAAAACTTTATTACAAAGTACTCAAAAGGAAATTTAACAATTGGTGATTACTTTAAAAGATGAAAAATTGCCGAAAGTTTGAACTGCAGTGGTCAGGTTGTGTTGGTGAAGATTTACTTCAACATATTCTGGATGGATTAGGACCAGAATTTGACGTTGTTGTCGTCAATTTAACATCCAGAATTGAATCTAAATTTGACTCTGTTACGTTGCAAGAACACAATATTTGCTGCAAAAGTATGAAATGGTATTGAAAAATTCAACACTGTGGATTTCCCAAACAGTTCAGTACATCTTGCTGCAATCATTATTCTGGTAATTCGTCAGGCATATCTAGTAATTCTGGTTACTTCTGTGCCTGCATCTGCTGTAACTACAATGCCTACTTCACAGCCGTATCAGATCTGTTCCTCTCACTATAACCACCCTCTGGATTTGCTGGTTCACCTGGTCACTTTCGTCCAACCTCTTATTCAGGACAGTTTGAATCACAAGTTCATACCTTAGACCATCGGTTTCAAACTACACACAGAGGTCGTGGTAGAGGCATTTCTAAAGGAAGACCTATATGTCAAGTCTGCGCAGATAGGACATACAGCAGTCCAATGTTACCATAGATATAACTCCAACTACAATGGACGTCCTCCACAGTTTGGATCTCCACCATAGTTTGAGTCTTCTGGCTCTTTCAATTCTGGAAATTTAGGAAACTTTCTTCTACACACATTCTGTTGGATAGGGCAGTCGGTTTGGATCTAGTAACTTTGGAAATCAACAGCTGCACATTTTTACTGCTGGTAATTCTTATACTGGGATCATCTCAATTTATACCTAATCCTGCTCATTCCTCCCATGGATTTCACTCTACACAAGAATTCTCCAGAGGCCAACACTTACTTCATCAGCTTCTAATGGTGGAAATTCAGTGTTCATAGTTCCCAGTCAGCAGTCTTTTTCACCTAGTCAGGCTTATTTTGCAGCTCCTCACTTGTCAAATGGTCTTCCATGGTTACAAACCAGACTACTGCACAGGATCCAGCCTGGTTAATTGACTCCGGAGCTACTGATCATGTCACATCTGATCTGAGTCAAATGCATAGCAGCAGGAATTATGAGGGAGCTGAGCAATTACAAGTTGGCAATGGTAAGTTCCTAAACATTTCTCATATTGGCTTTACATCATTACCTGTTCCTTGCAATCTAAATGCCTCCATTTGAAAAATGTTTTGTGTGTCCCTAATATCACAAAAAACCTACTTAGTATTTCAAAGTTTACTAAAGACAATAATGTTGTGGTTGAGTTTCATTCTGATTGTTGTGTTGTTAGGACAAGGTTACCAAAAGTCCTTCTGCAGGAGAGCTTAAAGCAGGACTATATCAGTTGAATCTTACCTCTAACTATCCTGCAAATTGCAATGATCAGTCTGTCTCAATTGGTGTTAATCCTTTGTGTCTCCTTACCATCTCAGCCTAGTAAATATGTTCCAGTTCATTTTGTGTAAAAAGTCTATGTTAGAAGACTCTAATAACTCTGAGAATCTAAATGACAATTGTAAGTCCATTTGAGTATGTGTAATAATTCCTCTGCTCATAAAAAAATACTGATCATCTCCCTGTTGATTCCTCTACTGAATTACCTTATATGAACACTGCATTGTGTGAATCTAACTTGAAGGTTGATACGTATTTAACATCTAGTTCTATTAGTCCTTAGTTACACAAGATTCTGACTTAAGTCCTGAATCTACACTAGCATTGAACATTCAAACTAGTAAGAGTTTAAAAGAATTTAACTTGGCACAAAAGACTTGGCCATCCTCATACTGAAGTTTTCAGTCATATAAGTCAAATTAACAGTGATCCTTTAGTAAAGTCAAAAATTCCTCACTCCATGTCATTTTGTGATGCTTGTCAACTTGAAAGTTGCACAACAGTTTCCCCCTCTTCATCTAGAGCTACTGAACCTTTGCATTAGTTCATATGATCTTTGGGGACCTGCTCCTATAGTCTCATTTGAAGGAAATAGTACTAGGTACAATTTGTAGATGATTTCAGTAGGTTCACTTGGCTTTTTCCTCTAAGAACAAAAGCTGAAACCATTCAGTTTTCATTAATTTCATCATTTAGTAGAAAGACAATTTGGTTACAAACTAAAATGCTTACAATCCGATCAAGGTGGTGATATAAAGGTCTAATTCCATATCTTGAACAAAATGGCATTATGTTTAGGCATTCATGTGCATATGTTCATTCCCAAAATGGAGAAGTGAAAGAAAACATAGGCATGTTGTTGAAACAGGTTTAACACTACTTGCCTATGCATCCATGCCATTGCATTTTTGGTGGTGTGCCTTGAAACTGCAGTATTTTTAATCAACAAAATGCCTTCATCTGTTCTACAGTTTGTGTCACCTTATCAAACATTGTTTCATAGATCACCTCTTATTCTTCTCTCAAAGTTTTTGGATGTTCATGTTTTCCTCACATTAGAGACTTTAATCACATAAATTTAGTTTCCATACTTTGAAATTTGTTTTCATAGGTTATAGTCTTGTGCATAGGGTTTTAAGTGTTTAAGTCCTACAGGAAAGCTGTTTATCACTCCTAATGTTAGGTTTCATGAGAAGAGTTTCCATTTGCTGAGAATTGTAACTTCTCTAGCCATCATTCAATCTAAATCCAATCTGTCACCTCACGCCTTCATCTGCTCAAATAATCCTGTTTCTCAATTTCCTTTTGTTCATACATTACACACACTATCTTCAAATGATAAGCTCCTGCCACAGTTGCTCTTGTAGAAAACTGTTTTCAACCAAGTTCTACTCCAACAATTGGCAAGGTAACCCCAATCTCATTCTCTGTTCTCCAAATTCCACCCTGCCT